GTGATAACACCCACCCAGGTTTACTGAGAAGCTTAAATAGAAGAGAAACTTTGTCCAAGATGTACAATAATTGATAGTTCTTAAAATGAACAAGAAACTCATCAAAGATACTTTCTTTTCCCTCATTTATGTCCCAGTATTATATAGCAGTCTTCCAGCATCTGAAGGGGGCTACAAGGATGCTGGAGAGGGACTATTTCAACAGGGACTGTAGTGACAGGACAAAGGGTGATGGGTTTAAATGGAAACAGGGGAAGTTCAGGTTAGATACAAGGAAGGAGTTCTCTGTGAGGGTGGTGAGGCGCTGGCTTTTTTTCAACCCAAAGCACTCTGTGATTCTGTGATTTTAACAGTTCTGCCAGGAAAAAAAGGATATAATAAAGGAATTTTAAGAGTTGAAATAAAACCAAAGGATGACCAAATAAGCTTTGAAAAGCAAATTAAATACAATACTTCATGATACATTTTATCTTCAACTGAGCAAGTGATTCACTGAAACAGCGTTAGTGTTTTGAAAGCAGCACTAGTATGATTGTGTGATCATTCTGGGTGAAGCAAACACTGGTTGCTGGTGTGAGGTAGCTCGTATGTTTTACATTTTTGCCTTCAAAAAAGAAAGATATATAAATACAAGACCTAAATACCCCACGAGAGCCAAGACTGTGCCAGTCCCACCCCTGCTTTCTGTAAGGCTGCTCTTCAAATATAAAAATGAGGCAGGGGAGGATTATATTCACTTCAAGTGGTGACATCTTTGAGTATAAAAACACCGAGGAGTTGGGCTGCAGTTCCAACAGAAGCAGCCCTGGGCCAGAGGAAGTCAAGGGCTTAAATATTCTTTTATTTGAAGGCTCAGGGCCGCCTGTGATGCTGCTGGTCCTTACATGTCCCACAGAGCAAGGGCCAGAGCACCAAAGGAAAATAAACCAACTACCTCCCTGGGGCAGGCTCCTGCTCTGGCTCTGCTCAGCAGCAGGTACGGGACGTTTGGGGTGTTGGCATTTAGCTCTGAAATGGTTTTGTTTGAGTGCTCAGGAGCTGATAGTTTATATGAAACCATTCTGTGGAAAAACACTTGCAGTTCTTCCTCATCTCCTGGCTGGCAGCACAGCCCCAGCACCCTTCCAGCTCCTTCCTTTCCTGAGCTCTTTTGGGGACCTTGGGAGCCGGTGCAGAGGATGCTGCTGCTTTCCCTTCTGGGCACTCGGGAGCTGTGGGATGTTCTGCTGTCCGCTCCCTTTCTTCCCACTCTGGCTGCAAATTTGAACATGGAAATATTTTGCCTCTCTTATCTCTGCTTCCCCAGCCTTTGGCGGCTGGTTTAGGCAGGAGAGATTAACAAAGGCAAGGCCATCTACATGAAGGCAGTGTGGTTTATGAATGGAACTGTGAGAACTGTAAAACTGGGAGGGTTTTTATCAACCCTCAAGGCTAGTGATAGTACTACTTGTCTTTCTCAAATGCATTCAGACTTTGAGGCCAGTGCTCAACAAATGCCTTACCTGGGGGAGTATTGTGCCTTTTTTAGGAGTGGGAAACTTGAAGCCCAGGGAAAGGGAAGCATCTGTTCAAGGTCATGGAGCAAGTCGGTGGCAGAAGCAGAAATAGCACCCAGAAATTCTTAGTTGTTTTCTGTATTTTCTTTCCTGTTTGCTTGGATACCCAGATAGCTGTGTGTAAACAGGAGCTTTGTTATCTGCCTGATCCATGCAGGGATGATGCAACCTGGAATCCAGATTTCTGCAATGCCTTCCACAGTCTTGATGCTGCCCCTGGCACCACCAGCCCCATTGAGCAACCGGAGTTTTAAACGTGTCTCTACCTGAATCGCTGATGGCTTCAGCAAGGCACTTTTCACAGCAATTTCATTTCTGATGCGTGGTCAGGTCCCATCTGCTCTTTTCCCTGGCATAACAACTGACTTGTCTTTTTGTTCTTCTTAACTCAGCAAGGAGCCCTGGATGGGGATGCTGATCCTCTCTGTGACCCACCAGCAGCACTCCTGACTACTAATAAGCTTCTCAGTTTGTGCCAGCTCCCAGGTGCCAGGGGCTGCCAAGCTGCCAGGCTTTCACCCACTGCCAAATGCCACGAGACAGCTTCTAATAGCTTCTGTTGGTCACTCTTGCTGTGAGAGAGCTACAGCATCCTTCCCCAGCCAGGAGTGGAAGCAAGCATGGCTGGGATGAACCTCTCTTTCTTAGACCACATCTAAGAGCAAGGCAGCAAATCTTAGATCTTGGGGAAACTGGGGGGCTCACTTTTGAGCCATTGGCATCGTGGAATGGTTTGGGTTGAAGGGACCATAAAGCTCCTCCAGCTCCAACCCCTGCCATGGGCAGGGACACCTTCCACTAGAGCAGGTTGCTCCAAGCCCCTGTGTCCAACCTGGCCTTGAACACTGCCAGGGATGGGGCAGCCACAGCTTCTCTGGGCACCCTGTGCCAGCGCCTCAGCACCCTCCCAGGGAAGAGCTTCTGCATCAGAGCTCATCTCAGTCTCCCCTCTGGCAGGTTAAAGCCATTCCCCTTGTCCTATTCCTACATCCCTTGCCCAAAGCCCCTCTCCAGGTTTCCTGGAGCCCCTTTATGCACTTGAGCTGCTCTAAGGTGTCCCCTTCAGGAGCCTTCTCTTCTCCAGCTGCCCCAGCCCAGCTCTCTCAGCCTGGCTCCAGAGCAGAGCTGCTGCACCCCTTGCAGCATCTTCTATGATTCATCTGCGTCTCTGTTAGGAGAGGATGATCAGAAACACTGTAAAACTTCCTTCCTTGTGGGAGGTGATAAATGAGATGGAAGCAGAGAAGCAAGGCCTTTCATGGGCATTTGCTTTAGGGAAGTGGCAGAACTGCCAAAGAGCTGCACAAGCAGACAGCCGAGCTCCAGCAACCGATGTCCATAAAGGAGCTACAAGGATGTTCCTTGTTCCACACACACAGCTCCCAAGAAGAGGGAAGAGCAAGACTTTGGACGCCACATTTCCTCTTCTGGAAAGCTGATGCTTATCCATCCTCTGGAGCCTTGGCTGTCATGCCTGCTCACTCAGTAGCTGTGCTCCCAGGACATCAACAAAGCTCTGGAGCACCTTGCAGTGGTTTCTGAGCATAGGAGTTCTGTTTACGTTGTCAGCTTTTCATCACTGCAAATTAACATAAGCAGATGGCACACACGTGTGTGTCTCTCCAGTCCTCAGGAAGCACTGGATGGCTTTAATGGGAAATGAATTATTCTTTATCCAGGATGTTTCACTGATAAACAAAATCATAAGAAGTCCTGTATATGTGCCTTGGTGGCCCCAGTACTCCTGTGTCTGTCTACCTTGTCTGGAAGGACCAGATTTCGTCAGTCTCTGTGTCTGGCTTGGTTGTCCTCAGTAGCAGAGCCTGTGTTTTGTAACAAAACTGAGAAGCATGTCGATGATTTATTTTGGCAGCAGACAGTTCAGCTTCCACCCTGCCTCTCTTTGGGTCACTGAGGGAAACCAGAAGATGAAATTCACCAGCATAGGTGGCAATTCGGAGATAGCATCTCTTCTGAGTGTTCTTTTCTGATTAAAACTACACTTGAAAAGAGACCTTTTGATAAACTTGAAATCCCAAGATCTGACCCCACCAGAACCATTCTCAAACAGATCATTAAAATATATTGGGCAACTTACCCACCTTTCTTCTGTAACCTCTCCATGCTAGATTCTTCCACTTGCAAACCCCTCGAAAGCTGTGAAGCAGAGCCCTTCACCTCCCCATTGCATTGCTTTTTACCACAGTGAGCTATCAGATGATAGGCTAGTGTCCCTCCGTTTCTCATTTTCCCTTCTGCCTCTTAACATGCACAAAGTCAAGGAAGAAACTTAAATATTGGATGCAGAAAGGAAACAAAATGGGAAAGATTTCCTGCTGTTATTTGAGGCTCTGTTACGCTCAGCAGCGAGGCTGAGAGAGGAGAAATGACACTGCTCCAAATTGGGATGTTTCCGAAGCGTTTGGTTTTGAAGTGGCGGCAGAAAAGCTTCTGAAATAGATTTTTTAAAAGGAACTTTCACAAGAACTTGAGAAATAAAAGGTCTCTCCCCCCCTTATATTACATCAACACCCCCCAAATGACACTGTCTGGTCTTGGGAAGCACCATTGCAGCAAGCTTTGTGTCCCTTGGGTGGCGATGGGCACAGGGAGCCAGGGCAGTGCCAGTGGGAGTGAGGAATCCCAAGGGATAAAGAGCCCTGTGCTCGTGCCATCTCTCCATCCCCAGGATGTTTCCGTGTGGCCCTTGGGATGCTTCCAAGGGTGGCTGAGCAGTGCTGGCCAGGATGGGGGGACCTGGGTAACGTTGAAGATGCTGAGGGCATCACCTCCGTAGGGTTGCAGCATGGGAGCAGGACTGGAGGATGATTGTGTGTCGGTGTTTGGGGACCTGGGTGAGGCTGGTGGGGTTGTGGGGCAAGGACATGGGTGAGATTGGGGAGGTATTTCTTTGTAGGGGGGACTTGGGGGTGGTAAAAAGATGGTGAATCACTGTTCTTCTGCTCTTCATGTTTGATTATTGGTTGTGGTTATAAACGCATACTGACCACCCCACTTTCCTGACAGCATTAGCTAAGCTCCAGGCACATATTTATTCACTTTTTTTTTGCAGCAGTTAAAGATGATAGGGAGACAAAATGATTTTAGAAGTATGCTTTTACTCTTCCAGATCTGGAGCTGTCCTCACTGTGACACACTAATTTTCCAGCGCTACTTTTTGGTTATATTTAGAAATGCATTTTCTGTTCCTTCCCTCTGCTTTCTGTGGAACAATTGTGCAACTTTCTTTTTTCTTAATATAATCCTCTATTAAAATTAGCTCCAAGACTAAAAAGAGTCCTCTGTGTAGGAAGGTAACTACCTTCCTTCCTAGCACTTCCCTTGGATCTTCCAGTGGGATTTTGTGCCTTTTGGCTGCGGGTTCCTGGGGTATAGCTGTGCTTTCCCTGCCTGACCTCCCTTCCGCTCTCCCCAGCAGTGAGCATGCAGAGTTCAGAGGGTGGATCAGACTCAGCAGCTTCTGTGGCACTTCACACCTCAGCATCAGCCCAAGCTCCGGTGGTGCAGCTGGTGCCATCATCTCAGCAGGTAATGTTTGCACAGCTGGGAATGGGGTTTCCATGCAGAAGAGGCTGGGTTTACTGGCAGATGTATTTTAATCCAGGGGGTTTATATAGGGGAGAGGCCAGGTTGGACACAGGGGCTTGGAGCAACCTGGTTTGGTGGAAGGTTTCCCTGCCTGTGGCAGGGGGTTGGAACTGGATGAGCTTGAAGGTCCCTTCCAACCCAAACCAGTCTGGGATTTTAGGATTGTTAATCAGCTCCTTGAGGTAGTGGGGAGAACTTATTGCTGGGCTTTGATAAAGGTCACAGATATTTCCTGTGTTAGCCCTACAAATGTGCAAGCTATAAAACATGGGATTTAGATCTTAACTTGGCTACCCAAGGAAGCCACTTCATGCAGTCTGGTGTTTGCTTCAGTGTAAGATCCTATGTTCATTATTTGGTGTGTCAAGAAAAGCAGGAGAAAATCAGGAGAAAACAAAACAGTCCTTAAAGGCATCTCTACAAATGAGGTACTAAGCTCAACAGAGAAGAGGTGAGGGAAGTGCTAAGTCAGGGAGAGGGTGGAGAAGCCACATGCTGGTCTCTTCCTTCAGTAGGCGGATCC